AATTATTTATATTATTTTATATTATATTATATTATATCGTATAGTGTACCCCTTTTGCATTTAATTTCTAAAAATTTATATTTTCTTTAGATACTAAAAATCATTCGATCGTTAGATTATAAATTATTCAAGATTTGATGGATCGAAATGTTTGTCAATTTATCCGTTGTTAGTCTCAACGGAGATCTCATTACGATCTCTGGAAGTTACTTATGTACTAAAGGAATATATCAGATTAATTGAATGATATGCTAACGATTTGATTCGAATGACAATGCGCAATGCGACGATGTTGCTTGTCTTTACAAAGGAATAGGATATAAACATACATGCATGCATACATATACACATATGCATATATATATAAGTAAAGACAGATAGAAGATATGGGACACAAACAAAACAATATTCATTTATGTTTAGTGCTTTATTACCTATGATACAAATCGGTTTTCGTATGAACCGCAAACGCCCACAGCATCCCATGTATTTCGATCTGCAACCAGCACTCCATAGACGGACCAAGTATTCCACACCAAAGAACACCACCAAACATATTTCCTAATTAACAAATAATATAAATACAAAATCATTATTAATAATAATAACAATATTATATATATATATTAAATTAATTAATATCAAAGGATAATATGTTTTTTATAATAATTATTTCATTTTTATACAAAAGATTTTATTGTTCAACAAGTTTGTTATGTTCTTTAATTAAATATAAGAAAAAAATAAGAATAATAATTTCGTGGCTATTTAATTTATAATTATTTGGATTAAACGAAATAGATTTTTAAACAGTGAATGTTTTCTTGATTTATATAGATGGATAAAAAAAAAAAAAGAACAAAAATAATAAGAAATAATGAGATATAACGAATGAAAATATATTATTTTTTAGTGAATTTATATTTTAGAGAAATAAATATTTTTTCTGTATATAAAAGATATGAATAATATTTGAATGACGAGTTTTCATATTACGCACTTTTTATTTACAGTATTATTATCCTTCCTTTCATTTAATCCATTTTTTTTCTTTTTCTTTTTCTTTTTTTATTATTTAATAGCATACATAGTGATTATCGTATAGCAGTGAGAGACGACGGAGTTGGTTGGTGGAATTGAAAAGAGAGTTCCTTTTTTAAATAAAGTTCTGCCTCTCTGTCCATTAGCGAGTTATTAAATTGAAATATGTGTGGAACGGTGGATAGAATAAAATATATGCGAAGATACGAATGATTCACATCGTGAAAAAATTCACTTTTAAATATCGCAACTCAATTACAACGCGAAGAGTTACATTTTTTTAAAAATGTGTTCAGTATGACTATCTCTATATCTCTATCTATCTTATTCTTTAAAGTTAAAAACACACAAAAAAAAATTAGTCGAACTTTTTATGGATAATAAATTGGCACTTCGGTTTAAAAATAAAAGTATAGTTGTGCAGTGATCTTATATACGATTAAAGAAATAATAATAATAATAATAATATTAATAATACGATTTTAGAAAATTGTGATTAAATTAAAATTATGATCAAAAAATTATTAAACAAT